AAATTCAAATGGTGACACCGTTTGACTATAAGAAACAAATATATTAAACATTTTTTAAATAGTGACACCATTTGCCTATGAAAATGACTCTAACATGATTCGAACTTGGGTGGTGGAATAAAAGTTTTGCAAACCAACTCTACCAAATAAAATTTGTTCTCATTGTAGTTTCAAAATACATACGATGACACATAACGAATTAATACGATTGCACGTTTTACGAACCTAAAAATTTTTACCCTTCGAAACGGAGGAATAATACGATGACACATGCCACCATATGCTCCATACCACGACCATCCCTGTCCTTATCACCTTCCAAACAAAATTCGAGCATCAACAAGAAAGCGGATCTAGAAGTGAACAACCTTCCAAACTATGTTTTCACTTGATTTTAATTAAATAGAGGGTTTTGTCCAATATTTTGAGAAACTTTTAACCTTAATTTGGCATTCTATTAATTTTGCTTTCAATAAATTCCTGATATTCTATCAATATTTTGTGAATATTTTAAAATGCAAAACACCCATCCAATTTGGTATTCTAATCATTTGTGCTAATTTATTGATAATTATATAAGTTTAATTTGAGTGTATAAGATTAATTCAAAGGCTTTGCCAAGTTAAGAACGTGTATTCAATAGCTCATGTATATTTGTACCAAGATTCTCTAATACCCTAATGAACATTCGTGTCTCAAGATGATCAACTTTAGAAAATTGGAGTAGCTATAAATCAATATATATATATATATATATATAGGGGAGCGTTCAAATAAAAACCATCTAATTTGTACAAACCGTACAAACTTCATTCAACTAATCATAATTTTTCATTTTGTTCATTTTTTTGTAATTATGAGAGGTTGATTAATCATTTTTATTGTGGATGATGTTAATCATGGATATTATCATCTTCATTATTTTAATTTTAGAGAAATACATGAAACAGTTTCATTAATTTTAGAGAAATACATGAAACAGTTTCATAAAGTAGTATATGAAACAATTTCATAACCATATATGAAACAACTTCATCAAAAAAAGTATTATATGAAACAATTTCACAAGATTAAACAATTTCATGAAAAAATTTCATAAGATTAAACAATGAAATCGACGAATGAGAGTAGTTTTTACGGTTTTTACAAATTGCAGTGATTTTCATTTGATCTCTCCATGATTAACAAACTGTTTCATGTATTTCTCTAAAATTAAAATAATGAAGATGATAATATCCATGATTAACACCCTCCACAATAAAAATGGTTAATCAACCTTTCATAATTACAAAAAAATGAACAAAATGAAAAATTATGATTGGTTGAATGAGGTTTTCACGATTTTTACAAATTGAGTGGTTTTTTATTTGAACTCACCCCTATATATATATATATAGAGAGAGAGAGAGAGAGAGAGAGATGGTGGACTAATCAAATGAGAATATTAATTTGTGAGATCTAACGTAAACCACTCATTTAAGATAGTTGTATTATTTACTAAGTAAATATAAAATATAATTTAGTCAAATCATAAATACATTTAATTAATGTATTCTTCCCTTAAAAAGTAAATTTATAACTTCCATAAATAAGAAATCCATAACTTTCAAAATAAAACATTAACTAATTGTTCACAATTAGTATCTAACTCCTTACACAATATTTTTTAGGGATCTTTAGTTGCTTTTATTTTGGGTTTTTTTTTTTCATAGTGTCATTATGTTCATAAGATGATCACAATTTTTAAAAGAAGAAATAGGTGATTACAATGTGTAAATAAAATATATAATCACAACGTGTAAAAATTATGTGTTCACAACGTGCATCCAAGTTCTTACACAATAGTCTTAGCTAGGGATCTTTAGTTTTTTTTTTTTAGTTTTTGTTCTTAATGTGTTTATGTCACATTGTGTTCACAAGGTGATCACAATATGTAAAATAGGTGATCACATTGTGTAAAAAAATAAGTGGTCATAATGTTTATTGAAACAATATATTTGATAGTGATTTACATTATGATCCTATATATAGATTTTTGGTTAGGTTCACAGAAGATGTTTGACGGGTGTTCAATTTTGGTTTTAGGTTTACATTGCGAAAATTAATGACTAATTAATAAAACTCCTTGAAGAAGAAAGTGAAGCCCAAGAACGTAGTTTGTTGTCGAAATGGAAACTTCGGTCAAATGTGAGGTAAAACTTAATTTTCGCCGTCAGAGCTAAAGAGGGTTTAAGGTTATATGGAAATAACGATTAAGTAGAAGGGCCAAGATGATAATTGTAAGAGTTTAGGGACTAAAACATAAAAATGTAGTCCTACCAATACCATGTCTGCAAATCAGTCAAAGAGACCAGCTGAAAGATTTTGTTAAGATTGAAAGAGTTTTCTGGGCTTTTTAAGTACAATTTATTAAGCTGAAAAGTTGATTATATGTTGAGAAAATATTAATTAGAAACCCAGATTACAACATAATTGAAAACACCAAACCAACCAATTGAACCAATTAAGACCTTCTACAACTAAGGAATTTACCAAAACTGAGACAACTTCTGAACAAGGTTCTTCATAGTTAGAGATTGTATGGAAAACATAACTTTAGGGATTGTATACATTTCTTTTTCCTACTTCTTTTTAGTGTAAAGATAAGAATTAGAAAAAATCGAAGCATAAACCGGCATCGTCTTCCTGCTAGACGCTATCGATCTATATCAGAAGGGATCGAACTTTTGTAAAGTTTGAAACGATATTTATAGTTGCCAACATCATGGGAAAAGTCCACATTTCACCCCAGCTATATATGAACACAACGTTCATATATATATATATATATATATATATATATATGTGTGTGTGTGTGTGTGTGTGTGTTTGTGTGAGAAAGAGACCTTTAGCATTTGCTTAACTAGGTGGCCTGGGTTATTTGACAGAGGTGGAATATTAATGAGGTGTTAAATGTTAATTGAAATTTGAAAAAACACTGATCGTCACCGTTGTTGAAAACCATGAAAAGATAGTTACACTGTTTATGGAAGGTACAAAGTTAATGACATGTCACATATATAATCAGAGTACGTACGTATTATTACTATACACTTAGCAGCCACGTTACAACTCCATCCCTCATCCCTTCACGTATTCCCTTCTGTTCCCCAAGCTCTCTCTCTCTCTCTCTCTAGATCTCTCTATCACAGAAATTGTTGGTTTTCTGCAGATGTTACTGTTCATAAGTTCTTGAGAGCCCTCATGGTGATCAGTGGTGACTAGAATGATCTTAATTAGCAGTAAAAAGTAAGGCTCTTCTTTCTGCTGATCAGCATCGTGATTAACAGGAAGTTTTAGCCTTTCTTTATTTGTTCCCCTAATTAGTAAAGGGTTCAATAACTCATTAACAGAAGTTGCAAATATCAGTTTTGTGTTTACTGGTTTGTGTTCCAAGAAATTTATTCAGAAACAAGGATCATGATCAAAACTCTTTAACTCCATATATATATATATATATATATATATATATATATAGACACAATTACGCACATGGTTTACGAAAGTTATTTAACTATTTCTAATATATATGCATATACATAATAAGTAGAATATTGTAATTGAAACTAATAGCATCGACTTAAGTAAGATGTTGAAGATATATAGATTCATTTAGTTCAGTAAGTAAGTGGGACAAATCTTTGTGATTACCAATCATGAGGCTGAAGAACATTTTAACATGTGTGTATATGTATATATGTGTGTGTGCATATATATATATATATACATATATACTTGTCTATATCATTATGATAACCAAGAAATAATGAAAGCTAATTGTATGCAATGCATATGACACATTTAACTGTCTTACTGTAGCATGTAATTAAAGGTGATTTTTGCACTACTTTTGTGAGTGGTTTGGAAAGGTACTCTCAACATCGTACTATCTTCTTCCCCAACATGTTTTAAGCTCACTAAGAACTTCAGTTTTATACTTTCTTTCTTCTAGAAACGTATAGTAATAATAGTTTTAATCCGATGGGAACACCCACTTCTAAAGCGAAACAAAGCTAGGACTCTGAAGGATATATGATGATTATTCTAACAATATGACATGTTAACTAGAATTGAACCATATCCTTAGGTAAGAGTTAGCTAGTTATGTGGACGGATGTACGAAAACGAAACAATGTCGTCATATAGATTGATAGGCTTATAAAGATCATTGAATATACACTCTTTTTTCTGGAAATATGGAAATAATATTTGATATTATGCATCGTGAATCCAAATCCAATGTACATATCTTCTTGCAATAAGGGAAACTTGAGTTTGTATAAACATATGATGGTAAAATTAGGACTTCTAAGTTCAGGAAAACTAAAATTGTTGCAAACATCGAATTCCAAGTTGTAACAAGAACTTTTAATTAAGCATCGAAAACATGAAATGCTAATCCAGTTCCATTCAATTCTCAAGATGGGAATCAAAACAAATTTAATTAAGAACCCACTGGTTATGCAGGTATTCATAAACGCTAGGTAGCTTAATTAGCTAGGTTCTCTAACATGGTTACATCCTGAATGCATTAAGTTCAAACCAATTATTAACATTGACCCAAATCAGACATTATGCTAGGTTTTTAACATCAAAAGTTTGACATAAAGAGAAAAAGAGAACACTAAGATCGATGATCCAAGTGAGCATAACATTGTTATTTAATTATATAAACTGATTGCATACATGACCTTAATTGATTTGATAGATTGATTAATTAAAGATTATGAATGAGAGACCAATAATCATAACAAAGTTGGCTAATTTATCAACAGTAATTATTGACTTACATCCTCACAACATCAATCCCTAGATCTTGCTGCTGGCTGCTGACCAAGACCTGCACCCTATGAATCTTCTCAAGCCTTTCATTCAAAGTTATATCAACCAAAACAAGCAGGCATTCTCATCAATGGAAGGTTATATATGCCACATGTGGGTGAATATTACCTCCAATGGATCTAAATCGATACACTGTCGCCCTGCTGCTCGTGAACAACTGTAAAATCAGGCAAACTGGTGAAGGTAGAGCTAGAATTGTTTGACACAGTAAGGTTGTGCTGATAACAACACAACATGGAAGATGGCATTGAGATTTTTTGTGCCGTAATTAATTCTGCAATCCTGTCGTTATACTCATTTTCTGATTCAATTGCACTCCAAAAGCTTGGTTGGAGTACTGTTAAGCTTGGAGAGCTTGCAGGACAGCAAGGGCCACCAAGAGCTTTCTTCGAGTCGTTGTCGAGCATTCTATTTCTATTACGCAATTTTTCTTGTGTCCTTTCTCTTGCTCTTGCTCTTGCCTCTGCCCTTGACTGATTCACAGGAAATCCAGATTTGTGTTTTCGTGTCATTTTCTTCTTTTTTCCCTGGAGACAGTACTTGGGTGCTGACTTCTTTTGCCTTTTATCTTGGTCATCTGAGCCTCCCGTGAGGGTTTCCAGGAAACCCACTTCAGATTGGTCGGTAACAGTCGAAGATGATGAGCTGTGCTTCTTTCCTTTAACCAACTTGTCAATCTCGATCTTGGACTTGCTAAAGAGCCAATCAAGGGTTGTGCTTGCTTTATCAAACCCTAGCAAGTCTTGAAGACAGAAGAATTTTCGTGCAACCTCAATGGACAATCTCACCCTTCGATCTCTAGGGCCTTGAGCAGTGTGGATCTTGCTATGATTATCTTTCTTGGGTGTCTTTTTTTTCTTCGTGGGAGAAACTCCTGACTCGAACAGATGATGATAGTCTTCACAGTAGTACTGCTGTTGCAGCTCCTCAAAGGAATCTTGTTTACATGTAGCAAACTTCTCCGTGGCCGTAGGGGGACTACCACTAAAGGCTTGAAAACAACAATCGCCGGAGACAAATGGGTTGTCGTTGCGGTAGTGGTGGTTGATACAAACACCATCTTTTTCATAATCAAGAAAGGAATCGGGAGGAGGGAAGACATGGATGGATGAAGCAAACTGCTGGAAAGAGTTTGTGGGAAACATCATATCAACAAACAAAAATTGAAAGATACATTACTTAGTTGTTTCACAAATCTGAGGTTTAGATTCATTAGTCTGAGTAAAGCTATGGGAGTAGATCGAACTTAAACACCTATCGATCTCCATCTCCTTCTAATTAATGGCTTTGCAGGTGCAGTCTGCATCTTCCTTAAGTGACACATTGATACCTCCTCTCACCAAATACAATAACACTACTGCTTCAATAAATTCTAATGGGAGAGAAAGGAAAACAAAGTGAAATGGTGCCACCACATTGAAGAAGACCTTTGTTAGGGCAAGAAACAAACAAATCTGGATATGGGAGAATACATATATAGAGAGAGAGTGAATTACATTCCCGGTCCCTGTGCTTTGTTGTTTATCACGACTAACATCTCTCAAACACGTTTATTACATACTCGATACCAGTCGTATTTAATTTTACATGCTCTGAGTTCTCCCCTCTATTGACCTTGAACTCATCTCCGGCGTCAAATAGAACATAATCAAATTATGAAAATGGGAGAATTGAATGCTTTTTAACCGGTAGATTAAACTAATCAAATGTTTAAAATTAAATAATCACATTTTTGTAATAATTAACAAATCAATTTCATTTTAATTATAGATGGAAGTTTGTAGGGGTGAAGAACTGAAGATAAATCAATATTTTAATTCTACATGACTCCATCCATATATATTATCGTATTAAAGAAATAATATAAATAAAACAAACTTTAAATTACATCAAAACTATTGAAAATATAGTAACAATTGGAATTACATAAATGGAGGGCCTTTTTTAAACCTTTCAATTTTTTGAATAATTATAAGATTCAATATAAAACCTAAAATCATAATAAATTAGAAAATTATTTTTTTTTAAAGGCAAAAGGAATGACAAATGAGAGAGCTTCGGCAAAGCCATCACCCTCACCAAACCAACCACTACATTAAAACAAAACAGATCCAGCAAGAAGCTAGATACAAGAAAAATACAAGGACACCAAAAATACAACGAGGGGCATATAAACGAAACCAAGTCATCCCCTTACAAAACCAAGGCAACAACCAATCCCAAACAGACAAGAAGACTAAAACAAAACGACTAAACAAAATAGGGAGAGGAAGACCAAACATCCCAATTCAGCTGGAATTTACGATTTCTGTTCCCGATCCAAAGCTTCGAGACATTTTGAACGCAAGGGAATGGGTCGTGACCTTTTTTCTTAGATTTCACCCCATCCTCAGCATGAAGAATTTCATTCCGCCACTTCCAAAGATGCCAAAGAGCTGCGGCGCAAACTGATAAAAAAATCACACCAACCTTGCGAAGAGATCCTACTTGTTTGATCAGCATTTTAAAATCAGCCACCGAAGAGAGTCTAGGAGCTTGAAGATCCCACCAAGCCCAAATTTTCCTCCAAAGAATGTTTGCCACGGAACAAGAAAAGAAACAGTGATCAATTGTTTCAACACCTCTTTCACACAGGATGCACTCCAAAGACTGTAATTGAATCCCTCTTTTTGATAGATTAAATCTTAMCGGAATGGCCTCTTTAAGGAAACGTCAAATGAAAATGTTTACCTTCTTTGGAATTAAGGGGCTCCAAAAACAAGGTTCGTTGCTTTCACCATTTGAATCAGCTAGCCCTTGGATTAACTTTGACATGTGGTTGACCGTGAAAATCCCTTTCTTGTGCCAATTCCAAGACCACACATCCTCGCCCGAAGTATTGAAATGCGTTTGCGAGAGTTGCCTTTTTAAGGCTAGAAGATCATCTAAACTTATTCCTCTAACCGTTGTATTCCAGTCCCAAGCACCTGACCAAGAACCATTAATATAGATCCATATGTCTTTGAAGACTACGTTTTTATCCCCTTCCAAAGTGTAAAGTCTAGGGAATATATCCTTCAGCTTTGACCCTTGACCAATGCTTGCATCTTTCCAAAAGAAAGAGCTAGACTCTTTAGCAATCTGTTTCGTAAACGAGTGAATGACATTATGACCTGTGTTAGAAAATTATTAATTTTTAGCAATCTGTGTTAGAAATTTTTTAATTTCGTAAACGAGTGAATGACTCTTTAGCAATCTGTGTTAGAAAATTATTAATTTTGATAATTTTAGATTAAAAAAATTAACTAAAAGATATCATGGGTAATTAATTGTAAATTCTCTTCCACCTCTCTCCTCTCTTTCATTCCCAACACATGCAACCACCACCACCCAATTTTTTGTAGAACCATGTGATAAATAAATATTGTGGGCAAGAGTGTGAATATCATTATTATGAGCCCTATGGTATATATATAAATAATCTAAAGAGAGTTTGCATACAATGCAAATGGTGGTTTTGTGGAGGGATGACAATTTGTGCATTGTACACGATAACGTTGTCACCGATTGGGTTTTTGAGTTTGATTGATTGGGTGGTCACACCGGAAAAACGGACGAGAAGGTAAGTGGTCATGATGAAAAATGGAACATGTGGTGGGTTGTAGATTTTGGCGATAAAGAAACGGGGGAGGTTGGTGTTCGTAGAAAAACAAGGGCAGGGGGAGGTTGTCGTTCACTAGAAAACAAGGGCGGGGGAGGTTGGTGTTCATCGGAAAACAAAGGCGGGGGAGATTGATGTTCGCCGAAAAATAGGGTGGGGGAGGTTGGTGTTTGCCGGAAAACATGAGAGGGAGGCATGTGTTTTTTGTTGTTGTTGATTCTGATGGAGGGAGGTCGATTTTTGATGGAGGTTGAAGATGGTGAAGAAAATTCAAGATGGAGGTTGGTTTTTGATAGAGGCACCGATGGAATGGAGAGGTTGAGGGAGGAGAGATTTTTTTTTAGGGTTTTAAAATGATAGATATGAAAACTTAGAAAGATATTGAAAATAAATAAATATAGATTTATGAGTTGTCATCAATATAGTTAATTACACAATTACCTTTTATACTTATTTTAGCAAATAAATTTAACTAAATTAAATGAGTGATTGGGAAACAAGTTAGCCTCGGCCCAAAACCTGGTCCAACACCGGCCGGCCCAACTCGGTCGCACCCTTGATGCGGCTATCGTGAACGACTTCCATTTGAGATCATTTTGCGACAGTTTTTCATCAAACTTTTTACAAGATCTTATATATAATAATAATCCCAAATCATACCCAAAGTTACAGCTCCTACGGTTCAATATTAAAACTTATATTGAGTTTTTGTATTTGAATCTCGTCGAGTCATCGCCACAACAGCTTCTACCGCAAACCGCTAGACGTACAAGTCATCATAGCCCACGAAACTTATACCAATAGAAAGGTAATTGAATAACAAGCCAACCATATATTATACATCACTTTTGGTTGAGTATTTTACCTCCAATCATCATTTTTGTGTGAAATGACCCTATGTCACTCCAAACCCGATACCTCTCTCGTTTCTTGATGAAATCCCAAAATTTCAAAGACGTTTACTCCTTTACACTCTTAGGAACGTTTCTACAAAATTTCAACCAAAAGCTCCAATTTATAGGGCATCAAACTTGTCCTTAAATCCCAAAAACATGATTTGGGAATGATTTTTTCAAATCTCAATCATTTAGAATCATTTTTTCTCATTTGGCAAAACTAGTCCCTTTAGCTTTTCTTTCTACATTTTTATCCCAAATCAATTAAATACAAAATATTTTATTTCTTTTTTTTATTGATTTTATTTATTTCAATAAAATCATATTTTTCAAGTATCGACACTTTAGTCCCGTATGTTGTTTACTCTTTAAATTTTAACCTTCAACATTTATTTATTTTACAAATCATAAATTTTTATAGTGTTACAACGCCAAGGGGCTCAGCCCCTTGGAATACCACTATGGGCGCTACCCCTAGGACCCCGCAACAGGGTGTAACCTCCTTAACCCCTGTTTTATGGCGATCTAAGGAGCAACATTTGTAAGTGTGCACTCCGCACCTCCTAACTTACATATGTTTGACTCACCGCCTTAATCAGTCTCAAGTAAAACACAATTACACCAAAATGCTTGATGACACTAAATTTACCAACGAGACATGTATCTAAAAGTAGCCTAAAGGAATTGTTACTCTCATAGTGTTGCTAGGCTCTATTCCTTTCATGTTTGTGTCAAGTATACCATCCTGGAACCAAATGTGTGATGCCTTGAAAAAAATGTAATTTTTTGTTCTGTGACTTGGAAGTCAGTCTATCTTCAACATTTAGAAGTTGACAACTTATTAAAACTACGTATTACCAAGACACAATCTCGAGACAGTTTTATGTAAATTTTATAACATGATATATATGCCACGGTATGTGCTAACTGGTGTCGTATAAACAAGTTATAGAACATGTGCATGCATTCGTATTTACGGTCTTACTATAATTGAACCTTTTTTATGTGTGTTTATGACAGTATGTAATCAAACAAGAACAAGGAAGCACCAATTCAATTATCTCACAGATTCAAATAAAGAATTCAAATAGATTTTAAACTAGACAAAAGAGGAGAGTGGAGCTTAAAGACCACTCAGACAAAAATATTTTATAGAAACTGGATGTTGGTTGGGTATGCTACACAACTGTTATCTGCTCATGATATTGTTATGCTACTTGACTTATGTATTTGTATACATGAATATCTTGGGAGGTGACATGATAGGGACTTCGTTGAAATGGGAGAATTTAGTGTGAAATATGATGGCAATGAGATCCATAACATGTGATGAATGTTAATTTTGTTTTTTGTATTTAAATGTGGACTTGTCAGATATTATTTACGACTTATGTTGTAATATGGGGATGTGTTAGGGTCTTTTCTAGAATAGTCTTTAAGGTTGTCACATGGTTTTGTATCAAGTTTTCAACTAGGGTTCATGATGCACGATATATATATTTCAACTTTAAGAAGACATCTTACCTACCTATTGTATTAGCTCAGATCTAGTCGAGATCCTTAATCAATCAATTCCATTTTCCTTTTTTGCCAAAAATAACTACTGGTGTTAAAAGACATTTTTTAACCAAACAAAACATGTATTAGAGGGTAATCCGTCAAGATATTTGGGTAAACCAAAATATATTGGAGAAAAGAAGGTAGATGGTTTGTTTTTCTTCTTTTTAAAGCGGGGTATTTGGACGTGTATCTATCAAAGTTATCATCATGATTAAATATTAAAGTCAAATGGTCATACAATTATGGGAAATTTTGAAAAAAAAAAATCCAATGAACTTTCATATTTTGACAGTTAAGTCATGGCTTTCCAGTTCCCACGACGATTTTTCTAAACAAATAAATCCTTACACTTACTGAAATCGAACAAATTGATCATTTTGACCTATAATACCGGTTATTGTAGTAAAAAACATGGGAAAAATCTGAAAAATCCCCAATGAACTTTCATACTTTGAGTATTAAGTTCATGAATATTTTTTGAATGAATAATATTTTACACTTATAAACAACTTTGTTTATATTGATTAGATCATTTCATTTTCAAGGTCCAAGGACAAGAATCCAATATATATTTACTTGAATCATCAGTGACATACTGACATCACAAACTAGCACAATTACTACAATAAGATGTTTCTTCGTACCTAATTATCTTAACATATCCTAAAAATCATAAAATTAGCATCAAAATGAGTCATGCTAAACACAAGAAAAGTTAATATTATATTGATATATCGTAAAATCAACATCAAAATGAGTTCAGGTAAACATCGAAAGTTGTTTATTGTGAATTGCCATCTCACTAATCAATCTCTTTTGCAACATATCCAAATGTCCCCTTACATAATAAGGTTTTATGAATTTGGAGGGAAAGTATCGAGAAAAATATACCTATTGAAACAACTTTTCCATGTTGGTTTGGTTAGCTAGATGCAGTTTGGATTGATGATACGTTCACAGGATCAAACAATTACATATCATATATAAGAATGTTACAATGAGTTTATAGGACGTTTTTGAATGTCTTAACAAATTTTTCATAATAATATGTCATATTTGATTTTTATCTATGACACTTTGGAGAAATGTTCAATGAACACGTCTTTTATACGACTCTTGTTTTTACAAGACGTTTTTTCAAATAATAACATAAAAATAACTAGTAGGAAGCTTCATTCGAAAAGTATCCTAAAATAGTAATTAAGACGTCAAAAACGTTCTATAAGCTTAATTATAGCACTTTTATATATGACAACTTATTGTTTGTTCGTATGAACATAAGTCTTATAAACAGTCTAGTAAGACATAAGCATTTTTTACGTCTTATAAATCTAATTTTATTGTAACAACCGATTATTTGCTGGTATACACTATGTTAGCCACCTTATATCACCACGTATATCGATTGAACTTTCTCCTAACTTTAGTTACATGTTCAATTATTAATCTTAATTGCATGATTAGAAAAGACTTGCATCTACCTTTCGAATACATCTTAGAGGGAGTGAAGAATCTATTCCGTTACCGGTCCAAATGTTTTTAGCTCATTTTATATGAAAAAAGACAAGACAGAAGAGCAAAGTTCCTTAATTTTGTTCTACCATTTTCTTACTTTTTTTTTATAAGATGGAGATGTTATTTTTGAACCATATAATTTCCATACTATATTTAACGACATTGAAAACATTCATTTATAACCAAAGGGTGATGTCTGATTGGTTTAAACTTGGATTCCAAAGGTTAAAAGTGTCTGGAGGTCTCAGGTTTAAATCCAAGGAAGATTAAAAATTCCCTTGTGGCTACGGAGGTTCAAATGCGACGACTTCGGGCTACCGACGAAACGGGTGGTTGCCCTAAGAATAGTCAGTTCGCATAACGGGTTGGATATCCAAGTTAATCAAAAGAAAACATTTATTTATTTCTATATTGCAAGAACACCAAAACGATGACGTATTTTGAAAGCTTATAACTTGACCAACATTATGAAAGACGGACCAAGATGGATAAGATCGTATCTTCTACCATTCAAAAAGAAATTTACGTCCAAAATTTCTTTTGTAGAAAAATTTTATTAGGAATAAATGTGCATTTATTTTATATAGAGAGAGAGGGTAATTTCATTTCTAAACTCTTTTTTTTTTGTGAACTGTCAGATGCAAATATATGAATTAGGATCATTTTCTCCATGCATACATCCACTGTGATCCCTGTTGTATATGTTGTGACACTCTAAGATACATGATGTGGTCCATAACATTTATGTGGGATTGAGTTCATGGAACACTAACTTAAATGACTGGTATATGGATCTCTCTATGTAGTGGTCGGCCTTCTAGAAGCTTCACTTATGCCACAGCATTTATGTGGGATTGAGTTCATGGAACACTAACTTAATAGCAATTACAGATCGAAGGAAGTGATAACGGTGATACAAATGAAACAATGAATATATATTTTGTGTTGCTGGACAATAAGATAACACAATGTGATCCTAAAGAGCATGACAAATTTTGTACTTGCATCAATGACTCTTTTGTCAACAGAAAATTAGGTCATTGATAATGTTGTTTCCGACATTATTATTCCTCTCAAAACATAGTAGTTTCAGCCTATTTTCAAGTAATTTTAGCATGTTTCTCATAGATTAGTACCAGTATCAAGTTTTGATGAGAAGAAAGAAATCTGCAATAAAGAAAGCCAATTGCTAAGAAAGTGAGTAAATCTTTAGCAAGATCCAGATCTAAAAAGTTTGCCAAGTCCAAGATCAAGTTTTGAGCTAAAACTATGAGAAGATGAGGCAAACAGTGTCAAATGCGAGTTTCATTCGGGTTTGTTACAACTCCGCGACTTTCAAATGATACAAGTGATTTTCCACGTGCCAAAACCCGCTTGGAGAGTCGTATTCTCGACTGTTTCACCTATTCGACCTAGAACTACTTTGGGGTGATTCTGGGGAGATAGAAAAGAACTTTTAAAGTCACGAAGAGCAAAGAATCATACCATTATTGAAGATCGAAGGTTGTTTCATTACTTGTGCGTGATGAATCATCACCGAAGGAAGTTTTTACATTCTTTTAGATTTTTCGTTAAAACGATATCTAGATATAGGGGTTGTTCCTTCTTTGTTTTGTTTTATATCACCCACAATATGAACTAATATTTAGATGTTGGAGGTTTGATGGTTTTTGGCTATTAAACACATGAACACGCAAAACTTGGATTTTATTAGGGTTTTCAATTAATGAAACATATGAATTGTTTTTAATGTTTTTGTTTTGTCTGATCGACTACCAACTAAATTACTGCTTTTAATTCGTCTTTGAGAAAAGTGAGATAAGATTAGATTCATGACTTGTATGCCTAATGTGAGAACTTGGATAGAGACATACCAATTAAACCCTAGTAATGTCTTAACAGTCTTAATATAATAAATTTATGAATTCGTGGATTAAGATTGAGAAATGAAACATGTGATTTGAGAGATAAACCTGTTATAATGCGAGAGAGAGAGAGAGAGAGAGAGAGAGAGAGGTAAAATTGTGATTGTTCCATTGAATTCCATGATAATTATTCATCTTGCATCGTTCTAGGTGAAAGTCATTTTGATTCCAACTCCCAACTGCTTCCATTATGATAAAAAGTTCCAATCTTTATTTTTCTAAAATTGTTTAGTTTTGACAATAGTTAATTAGACCTTTAATTATTCTATCAACCATCCACATTTGAATGTACAGTTAATAGTGATTATAGTAATTGTGATACTCAGTCTCTAGTTCGTTTGGTTTGATGCTCATACTTTGTAGTATCACTTGATTCGACACTGTACACTTGTGGTTAAATTTAGGGGTGTAAACCTACCTATCAGTCATATTGCGACGTGGGTGAATGGGAAGACATCATCGTCAAAAAAAAATCAGTGTTGGCAGATATGTTTCGAGCCGTCGTAGGTGAATAGGGAGGCATCATCGAGGGTCACCGGATGGTGGTCTCTGTTGTTTGTCGACGTAAGGTTGGTGGTCGTTGTTTGCCAACGTAGGGATTATGGTCTCCATTGTTTTTCTATGTAGCATAAAAATGTGGGTTTATTCTCCATTTTTGCTTACAGATTTAGAGAGAGAGTAGCAACCGTTTCAAATAGAGGATCCTAAAATCAAGGGGATGAAATAAATCATTTTCCCCATGGTTTATGACGATCATAGATATGGTAAAGAAGATGATATGGGTGTTTGGTGTCTGAGGAGTGATCCGAGATGATATGGGCGACAATTGTGATCGATAGAAAGAAAAAGGAGAGATTTTTAGGATTTAAGTATTTTATGTTAGAGAAAGAGAATAGACGAATAAAAGAAGGTTGGATGAATTCAATAATTTAATTAGTTGTAAAAAACAAATTTACTAAAATACCTTTTTATATTAATATAAAATTACAGTAATTATTTTTAAATGAGTAATTCATATTGAATCTCACACATTTATAAGGTTCTCATTTAATTAAGTTCATATATACACAAAATATGTTTAACAGATTAAAAAGTTCACATTATGAAACAAATATATGTAAAATAAACATATTAAGAAATAAAAATATGTTAATTGATGTTCTAAATTCTAGTCTTAAATGGAAAAAAAAAACTCATATAAAATAAAATATGATATGCTGATTCTCAAGATTATCATAATTTTATAGCTTTTAATTTTTTATTGAAAAATACTAAAAATAAGAAGGAAAAAAAACACTAAAATGATGCTTGAATTAAGTGTGTACACGGATTTATTTTAATCCATATATGAACGGGCTTAATACGTCTCAAAGATGGAACGGTGCTTCTCCATTCTCATCGTCGCCGGTGATTCTGCTTCATTATCATCTCTGCCTCTTCTGCGACGGCGTTTCCACTTTACTGCTACTGTAGTTTCCGGTACACCGTTGTCCTGACTCCTAAGGAACTTATTGAAAGTTTACTTCCTTCGCACTTTGTCAATCGTGTTGTAATTAGTAATGTATTTGCGTTTATTATCGCCATTGTGACTAATTATAGCAATCAGTGATGTATTGTTTCTGTATTTGGAACTCTAACTGCGCGAAATTTGGGGAATCGTATCACATGTTTGTTATCTCTGGTTAACCCTAACTTATAAGCTATAATAAGCGTTTGGTGTTTATTAATCTTCAAATGTCTGCAAGTTTTTCTTTTTAATCTCAGTTATCACTCATTTGTTTAATTCTTGTAATCTGAATAGCTGATATCTACTGTTTTACAATATGTAAGCTAAAAATGGATATTAAGTTGAAGTTGCCATGATTGCTATAGTCATAAGCAGCAGTCCTAAAATTTGCATAGCCACCATTATAGAGAGAAAATTCATTCTTTTCGTTAGGTAGAACATTTGCTGTTTAAAAGCAAATATGAGTTTCATGTATGAATTGTTGTTGATCTTTGACAGACTTGTGAGGAAGTATTACTTAGGAGTCACTTATCTCAGCTTCCAAACATTCTTGAGGCATGTTTCACACAAAATATGGTGCACCTGATTTGGCCAAACGCTGCTTAGCCTGTTGTTCTTGTTTTCACATGGTTATTGAGTACGTAATAGACGTCATAGATGGTGTTAAATGTATAATTTTAGAAGTAGATTCCTGCCAGATTATGTGCTTGGTGCTCATATATTAACACCTCCACTTTATCTATTTGTTGTTGATGGTGTCAACATGGTCTCCCCTGTCAACATTTGTAGATTCTGTACAATGTGATTTGATTTCAGATCACCGTCAAGGCTTTATATGATGGCACATTGCTAGACTTCGTGTCATTAGTATCACTCCAGCAGATATAACCATTTTCTTGTGTCTAACGTTCCAGGCACATTGATTAAAATGTTCACCACCATATTAGATTGTTCTCTATTACCCTTTTCTTATATGTTTTAGTATGTTCCTCAAACAGTTCTAGTCTGTTAGAAACTCCACCCCTCCCTCTCCTCAGATGTGTTGTTGCAAAGTTGAGAAGCCTCGGCAATGCCTAGTCTGATTCTTTTGACATGGGTTGAGAAGCCTCGGCAATACCTGCAAGGTCAGCATCCCCTTTCAGGTTGACATCATGGTTGTAGAAATACAGAAAACCGATGCGTGACCTACTTGCGAAATTTGTTTAGAAACATTTACCATATCTTTAAAACTTGGAGATTCTCACTATGGTTTTTTCTCTTTATGATTCCATTTTGCTCATTGAGAGATGAAACAACAGCGAGGCTGATTGTCTATAGTAATTTCACCAGTTATTCCCACCCGGAAGTACGGTCTAGGAAGGGTAGGATGTACACATATAAGGCTTCCAACTTGCGAAGTTTAAAGAAATTAAAGTCACAAACGTAAATTGTAAAAGGAAAAATTTGAAGTTAGCAGATTCTGACAAGATTGCAAGGACCTTGGGACAGTGGAAAATTTTTAAGTGGCATAACAAAACGTGCAAAAATCAAGATAAATAGTGTTAAAACGTATAAAAAAGCCATGACAATGCAGAGAAAAGGTGACATGCATAAAAAACAGATTAAAAATACATGCACAAGGAGCGATCCTCACTACCAGGCCCCCTTTAGCCATCCAGGTTACAAGAAACCCTCCTATGTACCGGGTAAAACATCCCCCTCCCCCATCCCAAACCTCT